TCTGCTTCATACTTGGATATTTTACTTGAAAAAGACACTAATGGTAATCTAACAACCAAGCTATATGATAAACGTGATGACTTTAACTTTTCTATCGTCAACTTCCCTTACTTATGCAGCAATATACCTTCACCACCTGCATACGGAGTATTTATATCTCAGTTGATTCGATACGCAAGAGCATGCTCTACGTATGAACAATTTCTTAAACGAGGTAAATTATTGACAAGCAAGTTGATGAAACAAGAATATCAACAGTCTCGTTTAAAGTCATCATTTCGTAAATTCTATGGTCGATACAATGACCTTGTCAGCAAATACAATTTATCATTGAATGAAATGCTGACTGACGTTTTTCATACCAATTGTTAGTCCATTATTATACACTGAATTGACCACGGATTTTTTCCGTTATTTCCTGATTATGACAACGAGCACACGGCGGGTGTGACCGGTCGGCAGGGGATGCTCACTCCTCCATGGCACCTGATCCCACCTCTGATGTTTCGGAGGTCCGTGTTTGCTCTGCTCTTATTTTGTATATTTGTTTAATGGACGTTGAGATTGAATACTGTTCGTTATTTTCATATCCTTCTTGCATTAAAAATAAATACTTAATTAGTGTTGAATTTGAATTAAAATGATCAATAATAATCATTGTATGTTACTTTAGTTGGATTACTAAAGATTGGTTGATTAGAAGCTTGATTAGTGTTTTAATTAGTTTGTAAATAAATAATCACTAAGTATCTTAGATGGTGTTAGGATATATAGGATTTTTACTGGCGAGGATTGCGAAGTCGGTTCTAGAGGTAAAACTTGGCAAACCTGTCTGTGTACTTATAAGTTTGCGGACTTCCCTGCTTATATTGTACTGTTTTAAGTAGTAAGTGTGTGGTCATCCCTGCTCTGTGATTGGCATCTTAAGTAGCAAGTGTGCGGACATTCCTGCTTGTTGCTGCGCTAGATCAGGTGTGCGGACATCCCTGCCTGCATATTGTGGTAGAGCATTGGTGTGCGGACATCTCTGCCAGTGTCTCTAGACTAAAACCGTATTAGTGTCAAGTGTGTGGTCATCCCTGCTTGTCACTGCGCAAGGGCAAGTGTGTAATCATCCCTGCTTGTCTCTTGTGGGAGTGCGCTGGTGTGAGGACTGCCCTGCCAGTGTCACTTGTTCGCTACCAGTAAAGACCTTATATACGCAGTACCAAGTGATTAAGACTGCGCATTGTACATATTTGCAGCATCTCAAGGCTATCCGTTTTTATCACGGGTACGAGCCTGCGGGGGTTCACAGGCAGTGACCTCCCTTGCACGTTACACTACTATGCGTTCATCACGTGACTGTCCATCAATGGGACCAAGCTTTATACAGTACAGAGTATGTTATACTACGCTATTTCCATAAGTATGTAAAGTCTGTGATAATAGAATAACTGAATAAAAATGAATTCGTGCTTAAAAACGATTCCCGTTTTTGCACTTTTTTTCTGTTGATTTCTCATAGTTAGCCTTAAGAGTGCTTACGGAAAATATTTATATTTACTAGGTCAGCGGTTAGACTAATATTATCAATAGCAACATTCTCAAATATTTTTCTTCTCTCTCTCCCTCCCCGTGCGCTCTCTCTCTCTTAAAGATACAAACAGTATTGACACTTTAAGTTACTTACGTATATTAAATACTTGACAAGTGCTCCGTTTATTTACATATTGCCAAGGGGGGTAGATTACTATTTAGTTTTTTAACTTAATCTTTAAGTATTTTTAAATCATGATTTAATTTTAACAAAAAATTTTAAATGTTCCGTACCTTCTATTTTTCTCTTGTAGCTATCGGTGAATTGGAATTAATTTAATTTTATGTGCTGAAATTAAAATCATCTTATTTAAGTAGGTAGGCGTAGGGGTGTTATGATGTTAACATGATCATAAGGTAGAATGCGTACTTGTCTATTAAAATATTTTAGGAAATAGTGAAAATTGGAAGACATTAGTCGTCGAACCAGTGCTCACATATACACATGTATTTATTTAGAACCCTCTAGCATACATGTATAAGTCCCCCCTCTATACACACATGTTACCTGAAAACAAAATCTAGTATATCGGTACTTGGATATGGTGTAAGTTTTTTGAATGATGCAAGTTTATTTGTCTATCTTATCATTTTATACCCGTCCCGTACTCATTATTTATTTGATTCAGGTTTCATTAACATCTTTCCTTTTAATAAGATTAAGATTATTCGCTAACTGTAGGGTCCCACTACCTTCCGTGATGAGTTAGCATTATTCTCTCTCTCTCTACCTCCCCCCTCTCTCACTCTCTCTCCAAAAAATCAATATCGACCCATTCAAAGTTTAAAATACATGTATAAATTCAACTCCGGCTGATTTTTTTACTGTCATAATACTGCTGCATATAAATTGTGTTTGATTTTTAATTATTCTTTATTACTGATAAAAAGTAAAGGAAATATACTATCATGAACTATTTTTATTTGATTGATAATCAAACAAATTCCTCATTCCACTGTTCCACACACACTAACATGACTTAACAAAAATATTAGGAACCAGTCACTTTTACAAAAGTTTGGATGTAATGTACCCCTTCTCATATATTTATTTTTGCTTAAATCTTTAAAAAAATGTGCCTTTCCCCGGTTGGTTTTTACATCAATCTTTTTTTCATTATCGTTAATTTTATCTTATGTCGGTATATAAAAAAAAATTATTTATCTAATCTAAAAAGTGGTTGAAAGATCGTAGATAATCATTGCATTTTTATATTACGTATGTTTTGGTGTTAAATTTCTCAAATTCAAACTGGCTAGAAGAAGAGTCTACCTGTCGCCGTAATCACTCTGCTCACCAATGGAATGAAATGAATTTATTAAAACAAATGAAAACTAGAAATTTTCAAGTACAGTTAAACGTATCAGAGAGAAAGAATTTTCTAGTTTTGAACAAATTGTTCCCTTTTATTATGATAAATTCTAAGTTGCTTAAAGCTGTCCACTGTTAGTGCCCCCTTTACACCTTTACACCTTTACATCTACTTATCAAAGACTAGAATTAAAAAAAAAACGAATTAATGATTTTAAACATCGTCACTCTCTTCTTCCGGACCCTTTTTCCTTTTATTTTATCAAAACCTCAAACATTTAAAGCGTCAATATCTCAGGTCCTGAAGTGACCTTATCATAAACCAGGATCTGTTATTCATCATACCGATTATTTTCTAGGAATATTGACCAATCTTTACATTTTTTTCAAAGTGCGTTAATATCACCATATTAACGCATTTTGGAAAAAAAAATTTCAAAGTGCGTTACCTTGGTCCCAAATTTAATGCACTTTGAAAAAAAATTCAAAGTGCGTAAGTTTTCAAAATGCGTCACAAATAAACTACCATTGTCCAAATCACACGAGTGATCTTGTTTTTACTTATCATCCGGTGATGAGAAAAGATGAGATTATCTTTGGGTATCCGATGATAATAAACTAATTATTATTAAATAATACTAAATATTATTAAATATACTATAAAAAACAAAAATGAAAAAATCATTTGACTTCCGCCTAAAACGTCAGAATGATATGATCATTTACAGAATACGCACAAATCGTCCAAAAGTAATGCATGCATATCGATTGAATCGAGAATTTCAGCCAATTTGTATACATGTTTCCCGTGATTTAATTTTCTCTACATGTAACTATAAATAATACTGTTTTCAAATAAGCTATTTTTTCCTCAAATACGAAGTAAATAATGTATGAACGATGCATAATCATTATTTTTTTTACAATAATAGATTAAAGATAATTTTAGATTATTTACATCAAATTGATTTTAAGGTGAAGTTTAGTACATTATCAGATATTGTGTTGCTTAACACAGAGAGAAATATTTTTTACATATTTTGAAATTACAGTCCGTCAGATGGAATGTTAGATAGTTCCCTATGTTAAGGTTTACAACTACATGTACATGTATTTTGCATGCAACAGATATAAATTTCCCACCGATAATGGCTGAAATCTTGCCGACTCGGCGTTAAGGAAAAAATCAGTCAATCAATCAATGATCTGTGTACTGATTAAAATGGTAGTCTATTAATTTTACTTACTTTTTTGTACATTATGGATAATAGAAATTTAATAAAAAGACGATCGAGTTTTTATTTCAAAGAGCAGGGGGGGGGGGGGGATAATGTACGGCACAGTAGAATGTGCCTGCAGTAGAAACAGTTTAAGGAAAAAATCCTAATAAAATGAGTCATTTTTGAGACACAATGCTAGTATCACGTCATGTTTGATTTCACGTTATAACTATATAAAAATTGATGTGATATTTTATATTTTAACTTTGGAATAATCTTATTGTATCATGGTTTTAGTCATGTAGATCTAAATTTTGTTTATTGAAAGTTCAGTTGTTCATAGATACCGACAAATCCTGTCGGTATGAAAGACAGAAAAGTAGATCTTTTTTTCGAGGGGGGATCCGGTTTTTAAAGGTTTTGAAATACAGTTAAGACAATTTTTGGGATTGTAGATTATGATCAACTATTTTTTTTATTATTAATTAAGCATTTTGTATGACTTAAACATGATGACCACTTGGATTGATTAGGAATGACAGGTCCCCCAACTGAACACTGAGAATAAACAATGACGTCACAATTGAATCGTGAAAAAAACTACAATGTGCTCAGAGTTAATTTTGTAAACATATCAATTTCAAAATGAAATAACTTTCTTATAAATAAAGATATTTTTATTCTGTTTTCAGTTTTTGTCGTAATTTTACATGGACCACTAAAATACACAAAATCTTAAAAACGATATATTTTTGTCCTAAGATCGATTTCTATCCGACGAGTCTCATAAAAAGATTAATGAAAATGAGAAATGAAATATATAAAAAAAAAACCCATAACTATTATTTCCCTAATACAGATTTCTTTCCTTTTTATTTTTTGTAGATGATTCTACTAGTCAAGGTTATCTGTTTGAAATACCAATGCATGGTAAGAAACGGATGTCATTTTTTTCGTTTACAAGATTGGCTAATTCAAGGGGATTGGAAACAGATCTAATTAAATTTACTGATTGTTTGATTGATTGTATGTTGTTTAACATTCCTCTAAAGATGTTTTACTTCGTATAAAGAAACAAACACATGGTGGTGAAGAGCTGAAAATTTTATCCTACATTTAGCACTCAGGAGCATTGAGCAGTGAGGAATCTTATTCTTGTAAATACCTACTGCGACACGGTAGGTAGTTTTATACGTCTCCACCGAAGGACAGGTCTTAACGTCTCAGTGGGATTCGAATCCTTGAAAACTTTTTATTTTGCGACTCTGGAGCGGACGCTGTAACCACTGCGCTTTGCAGAACAAAATTGTCTGAGTATAAACATTCAATGTTGCTGGAGCATTTTACACAAAAATATAAGCTTGTTTTGAAACTTCTTTAATCCAGAGACTATCTAAAGAACGAGCTAAGGAGATACGATCAATTGACACATTTTTTGCAAGTCAATGTCAGAGGCATCGTCGCAAACCACGGCCAAAATATACGACCCCCTCTCATTGTGGACGTGGTTGCAGGAGACGAGAATATCTCGTTGTTCATTAAAGTAATGGCAAATGCGAGTAAAGCATTGCCGGAAACTGAGCTTTCATGCGACTTTTCAATACCTAATTGCAGTGTACGATATTCTGCTGATTTAATTTGTTCATTTCAATTTCGATGGAAACAAAACTTTTCATTGACTGAATATAACATTACAGTAGAGAAAAGTAAACATTCAAGATAACGACAGTTTTTGTAATCAAGCAGCCACGGGTATGAGAGAGCTATATGCGGACTACGGACCGTGGCTTGAGACGATGTGTCATATAGAGTAGGAGAAAAAGAAAAAGAAATCATTTCCGTCAATAAAAAACAATCGACAATAATTAGTAGGAAGTCTTCACCTCATCGGAAACCCTGACCCTTGGGCCAAACATTTTACAATTTTAGGAGATACTCTGCTCATCATAACTGTTTAATTCCGACAGCGGATTTCAGCGCTTTAATTCATTTTTAGATTATAATCATTAGATAGTCAAACATCCTGGTACCCACGACCCAGGGTCCTTAAAATCAACAATTCTTCAATAACGATCATTGCTCTTCATAACTTTGTACCTAGATTATCAGTTTTATTGTTGGGGATTTTTCAAAGATTTCATACTGTTCCACTATAATATAATTATTTGAGTCCCGCCAGAACCCCTGACCCTTGGGTCATGAAATTTACAATTTTGTAAGATTGATTGATTGAATATATACTGTTTCACGTCCCTCTCCAGAATATTTCGCTGATATGGAGACGTCACTATTGCCGGTAAAGGGCAGCACAGTTAAGGTTATAGTAAGGAGGCGGGGCCTAATTTGTACGGGAAATGTTTACTCTGACGTCACACATAATATAAGGTCTTCAAAATACCACAAAATAAAATTATTTACTATTTCAAATAGCTGAATAGCTGTATACTACATACAAACTTACTAATACTTGCAGATTTGACGTTTGTTAAATCCCAGACAACAGCAAATAACGATGCATCGATCGCAATGCACTTGTCAATGTGACGTCATCTCGCAAAAATGACACAGTTTGTACACAGTGAGAGGCTAATCAAGTCACAAATTGTACAATGAAAAATGCCTTTTGTTCTCAAATAAAATATTATTTGCAGTAAAATAAAAAGACATTAACTTGGATGCGATGTATATTTTAGTATTTTATTGATAAACTGTACGTGCATTCTCCAGACAATCGATACTGTCGTGTGTTTGTATGCAGATTTATTGAAACAGTAATGGAAGGGCCCTAATAAATCGATTTATTCCAAGGACATACCCTCAATGTATCTTGTCAAAATTTTACACATAAACTCAAGAAGCATTAAGATATTTGAAAAGTACTGCGAACCTCTTAAAATCTTACAAATAAATTAATTATAGCTTTATTTAATGTAGTTGACCAGCAAAATATTCAACCCGCCGTCCAACAAATTAAGCTGCAAATTTAGGCCTATGTTCGGCAATCAGGGCCTTTGAGCACGGAGGAATCTTTATCGTGCCACACATGCTGTGACACGGGACCTCGGTTTATACGGTCTCATCCGAAGGATTGCCCATTAAGTCGCCTTTTACGACAAACAAGGGGGTACTGAGGACATATTCTAACCCAGATTCCCACGGGGCCAATTTTGTAAGAAGTATTCTTCATAATAATAACGATGTATGTTGATCATTGGTTTAATAGCCAGATTTAGAGACGAGAGGATTTTCAAAAAAAAAAAAAAATTAATTTTCCCTTTATAATCATAAAAGCCCTCTTCTGATACTACAACCCTGACCCTGGGCCATGAATCGGCAATTTAGGTAAAGGACTCTAACAGTCATGCCAATAGTTTGACATTTTGGTGACCAGTAGTAATAAGAAGATTTTTAAATATTGTCTTAAATTGCAAGGAATTAAAACTGTTTGCAAATATGCAAAAACGATATCTACAACTGTAATGCATTGTATGGCAATACAAAATGTGATCACAAAATTATTATCATCAACATGCACATGCTTTGGCTTTTTATCACTTCCCCTACATGTCCCCATACATTTTATGGAAGAGTAGTTTAGACCGCGGCAATATTATTTAGTGCAAAGAAACCAAAATACTCATCTGACCAATTTTCATAATTATTCATAACCGAATACAAGATATAAATCGGAAACAATTATGGAAGTCAAGTATAAGACACAAATCACATACTTATGCAAGCCGAGGGCTATGAATTGTGCGAATCTTTCTTTTTTTTTTTAAATTCAATCCAAGACGAATACAATATTTTGTATATACTTTTTTATTGTACACTGGCAATAATTATTGTTCAATTTGAAAGAAATTTAAGCTCTTAGTATTGACATAATGAAGGTATTTATTTTACAAATAAGTGAAAACGCATAAATTTAATGCAAAGAAGTATGCCGACATGTGCAAAGAAATAAATATCGATTGTTTTGTGGCTATTTATATTACATGGATCAACAAGCAAAAATCAAAGGATATATCAACCATCAACTCTTTTGGAAAAAATGTTTGATCAAACGAACTGTTGCTTAACAGAAATATCACGTGGTGACTCTTTTACTAAATGAGACTGGTTGTAGATAATGGGATTAGAGGAAAGAGTTGAGTTCCCCTCAATCAACAATACCTTTGTGTTAAAGTATTGAAATGAAGGAATGCTTGAATGATTTAGAAATTTAAAAAAAAAAATACAATGTAGATCTAAATTATCAGATCTTTTAAACTGCTTTGAAGTACAACAATTCTGTAGTGCAATTTTAACAACACAAAATGACATACCGATGCAAAATGTACAGAAAAACATACATATAAAGCATTAAAAATTAAGACAAAGATCGGAGTGGTAATCAAAATGTTTCTTCATTAAGTAAATATTTGAAGTACAGTCATGTTGCCTTTCGTAATAAATTTGAAGAGGCAATAATTTATTGAAACAACCCATAGACTTCTCTATAGTGAATAAAAAGTGCGGGTATATATCAAAATACAGTAGTACTAACATTGACTACATAAGTCAATACATGGGTCCAAGATCTTATTAAATAAAGACATTTTAATGAAAACTTTTAAGTACACGTATCTACGCATAAAACACACCGATACAATTAAATTGAATAATTGGCGAAAACTTTATTTTAGCAGGAACTTTAAAGATTAGACAGCTTAATAACTATCTTGTTTGGTTTTAAACAGTATTCGGCGAGTGTTTATTTTATTATAAATATTTCTAAATTGAGAATTTAAAAATATAATTTGTGTAATGGCAAGTTTTGAAATAAAGATAACAGAATTCGCCGTGGCTATTTTCACGGATGTCAACATTATTAATTTTCTTGGTTAAAAGATTGGTACATAAGTACCCCTGAATAAATGTTTCAGGTTAAAGATGCAATTTCCCTTGTATATACAGATAATTTCCAATAAGTATTCATTATGAAAGCACCTCAATCACACGTTATTTTTTAACAATATTTTCAATATGGGTAGCATCCTCCAACTACCATGTTTCAGACTGAAAAAAAATTGAAATAATAAAATTGTCTTTTGCTTTATTTGAAAAATTAAATGCATAAGCCCTTATTTATGTCAGACAAATTCGTACGATGTATGGAGCACAAAATAAATAAGTACTTAATACATATTCAAAAACACATTAAGATATCAAATGCATTAAGTACCAATGTAGTCTTCTGAAATTCTCAGGATTTACCTATATTCTGTCTTGGAGTGTAGAATCCACACTTGTAAAACAAAGTTGGATGTAATTAATTTACAGTGCTATAAACAACAAAATATTAACTTAATGGTTTTAGAATCATGGCTTTTCTTTTCTTCTCTTTTTTTTTCTTGAAGTAGCAATAGGTAAAATTGACAATTATCAAAATGTGAATAAGTTGAGACATCCTCGTAAATAGTTTCTCTCTGAATATGGAGACTTTCTTTGCCTTCAGCGAAACAATGTTTTCAATAGATACCTATGACATTTGGGTAAAATTCAAAACGAAATGGTAGGTACACAAAATATTAGGTCTAATCTGTCCTTGTCACACTATAGTAATGATTATCTTTGAAGTTTGTTGTTCTGTATTACCAATACAGAACGGGACTTTGGTGGGCGGAGCTAATTTCCGTTCTGCATTAGCCCAGTATACTGTACTGTAATTGCCAACTATTCTGTATCTAAAATACAGCAAGGTCTAAAGATAAACCAGATTCAATTTAGCAAAAGCTCGTACAAATAGTTAATGATAAAGTTTTCGTTTTATAAATTTTGGAGAAATACCCGGTATTAATCCAGAGAATGTAAAATGTCAAAATTTCTCAATCAATTTTTAAAAAACTTATTCTACGCAGAATTTTCATGTAATTTAAAACCAAAGGAAAAGGAAAATTCGCAATAATGGAAAATCCTCTACACATAATTTCGATCCAAACGAAAAGGGAAATTGCGCAATAACGGAAAAATCCACTCTCCTCGTGCAAAATCATTCAAGTCCATTTTTTGAGTTTTTATTTTTTGATATCCTTCTCGCTTACGACAGCCACACGTCTCTTTCACTTCGTTTTTAATGTTGCAATTAAATTAAGAAATTTAGAAAATAAAAATACGTAACATCAAAATCCATCGAAGACTTTTCTGTTTTTGTATATCAGTTAAAGTAAACCGGGATTTTAAAACCCCTGAAATATATTATAATCAATTTCCATCTACAACAGATCCAACAATTACGGTTAAATCCTTTACTTCATCCATTAAGACTGACTATCACTCGATTACGTCTACTCCGTTAAATTATCAGAACTACTCTGACCAAATCCTACGTTTTCCGTGGAAACATATATACTGCGTATGCGTAGTCCCCATCGGGGCATAATGTACAGAACTATGGCGGAAGTTTGGATGCTGCAAAGTTATAAAGTGGGAGGAGCTATTTTTGATTGATCGTGTCACAAATCATTTAGAAATATCGACAGATTCTGTGCTACGCACTCGTCCAACCCCAAATTTGTATCTACAATACAGAACCCGTCTCGTTCTCTAAATAATACTAAATGTTATTTGATAAAAATACCTTTATAAATAACGGTCTATTCATATCTTTAACGAAAATATAATTTCGGTTTCTGTCATTTTTTTTCAGATGAGTTCTTAACACTTACTGGAGACGAGATGTTGGTGTTATTCTGTTTTCTGTGTTCTGACTCCGGTCCTCCTGACTTCAATGACACAGAGTGGCTGGATCTGCTCAATGGTATACGACGGGATGCTTGCGATAAAGAAAATCTTGTAAACATGGTTACACCCAAGGAAGCACAGCAGACTCTGGACAGACTGAAGTCACGTGATTTTCTTTGGGAAGATCAGGACAAAATAACGGAGGAAACAAAAGATTGTATAATGTTTACCATAGCACAAACATGGCCTGCTATTCCATTCATTTACAGTAGTTATAACACAGCCAGTGTGTATCTGAGATCAATGTTGTATAGAAGAAGACCTGGAGAAAAGTGTATCTGTGGTGTTCCTTATAATAAATTACTGATACTTCGTTTACAGATGAATATACTGACTCATGCCACCATGAAGGACTCGTTGATCACTTTTAAAGTGTCTCATATCTGTAAGTTGAAAATGTTCCTGATATCTATTTATGCCCATCTATTTATTTGTTTTAGTTTCAGAATAAATTGTATCACAAATAGATTATTTAGGAGAAAAATACCGGGAATTATGAATTATTTTGACAGAAATTTATTTTGTTTAACGAAATAACATTATACAGACAGTAATGTTCCCAGCATCCAAACATGATTTTGATTTTATCATGCCGTAGTTCACCTGCATGCTAATGTATTCAGAATGTATTCTGTTCTTTTTTATTGCATTCACTTCATTAAAAAATGAGTTTTTAAATGCACATGGTATAAAAATTGAATTTATCCTTTAGGAATAAATTCGTAACGGTTCTCCTTAATAGCTTTTTATTTGTAAATACATTACAGTTTGACAATTTAATATATACCCGTATTTTACTAAAACTCAACAGTGATTTCCACATTATCTTCTTTCTTTTACACAAGTGAGGATCCCAATAGAAATTGTAGGTGGAAATGAAATAAAAAAGAAGGGGTATTTAGAGACTTTGAAGCAGAAAGGTGAGGGTATACTTTACAAAGGAAGATCATCGGACAGAGAAGATCACGTGACATGGCTCTGGAGATACGACGAAGACGCGAGACCAGACATTGTGAGATCCTGTATAGGCCTCCATCCACACTGGGATATCTACGTTATAGATAACAAGGCTTACAGAAAACCAAGTGAGTTGGAGAATAATGACTAATTATAATGAATAATAACCATTATTTCTCAGCCGAAGTGCACTATATCTGGAATAGTTAGATTACACTACTGTAGGTTAAAAACAAGGTTATACGTAGTGCAAGTTTTCCATGATTATTGAAGTAATCACCTGGTTTAATAAAAAAGGCTTTAAAGCCTTTTTCAAACGTATTTATTGTCGAAAGCTTTGTAAAATAAACTTGAATAGTTACAGTTGAAAATTATTTTCTAATATGTACATATTGAAGATAAAATACCTTCAGTTCGGTTTGAAATTATTTGAGGGTCAGAGGTCATAGCGCAGGGCAAGATGGTATCTGGTTTTCATATATATTATTGTATGGTTTTGGAATTACATGTACTAATTTGAAAGCAATGAAGAAGATATAATAACTTAAGCATGTAGATAATTTCAATTCAGCAGATGCCCAATAGATCTTCCTTTGGTGTGAAAAATATTAGAATACTATAATTCACCTAAAATCGCACCTACCTTTTAAACCCAAAATTTCTTTGAAATGATTTCAACTAAAAGCCGTTTTTGCTTCAAGTTTTTTTAAGAACTCCTAATATAGTAAGATTATTCTCAGTAAGGATCATTGTTCTTATACACTGTATACTTATCAAAATTTATAAGTCCCGACGTAAGTTTTTGTTTTCCACTGCATTCATATTAAACAATTTAGACAATATAAATTGATAACTTTACAGGATAAAAAAAGCAAAACTTTCTTTTACTTAATCTAATTTTATTGAAGCACTTTAACACAAAATGCAGAAAGTGAAGGCACCCTAGAATTAAAAATTCGCAACGTTCAATACAGTTATTATCCTCCATTCAAGCGAATTAAGATCAAGACAATTGCTTCTCAAAGAGTTCACGCAATTAAAGAAAAATCATTATTGAAAGTTATTCTATGTATGACTAGGTCGTCCTCTGTGTTTCAGCTAGATTCTGCTTCTCGAAAAGACCTCAATCTCTGGTCCATATTGTTCCATTCATGTTTTATGGCGTTGAGATGTCGATGACATTTAAAGCTTGCCGAAAATGTTTGTACCAAACAATATTAATTCTACAGTACATAAGGTCTCCTTACACACAATCCCAAACCTTCCAGTTTGTTTCTAATAATTTGGATAAATAAGGACACTTCAATTAATTTTTAATGAGTGCAGAGCAATTGCACGTTCAGATAGGTTCCTTCCACAATAGTAAGTAATTCTTATGTAGCAGCCCTATTGATGTGTCTTTGCAGTACGTGTACGCCTTGACGATGGGCACTTCCGGTTCCGGTTTCAGTGAATTTCTGGTTAAACCCTAGGATGGGTTAGTGGCATATGGTGAAAATCTAGCTATTATTAATGATTATAAGGGATGGAAGTAAGCTCTGTGCATCTCCCTGACGGACTTTTCAACGGTATTAGATAAATTAAACAAATACAAAGGAAGGTAATACAACTCTCCTTTACTACCATCAGCTTGGACCATGGCAACTTCACTTGCACATTGTCGTTCGTACATACAACAAGCTCTTGTTTTGTTTTTCCTAAACAACTAAAGATGGAGAACACATGGAAATTTAAATAAATGAAAGATACACCAGAAAACATATGAAACTCGTACTGAATGCTTTTTAACAAAAACGGTCATGGATGAGTAATTACACATTTGATTCCAATTTATCTGGCCGTTACAGGCAATCATTGAAAAATTAAGTCAAAATTGTAAACAACAAGTTCATTTATGTTAAGGTTTTTAAATACTTAAAATAATAAAAGTGGGGACTTAGAAAGTATATTTGAAAACAAACAATTCTTGAACTGATATGTGGAACGTCATTGTAAAATTCAAATGTTGGACAAAGCGAACTATCAAGACCAACACTTCTACGTCATGGGACAATGACGGTCTAACAAGAATATCAACATTTTATTGGAGAAATGAAAACGTGAAGAGCTACAAAAAGGAAATTCGGAGTAAAATGACAATTAAAATGATAGTGTAAAAATTATCACCGTCAATTCATTTTTACAATTTCCGTACAACATTAAAATTAGCATTCCAAACTCAAATTGAATGGGTCCGATGAATGTAGTAAACCATCTAAGAAATGTCATGGCATCCGTGTACAAAACAAACACTATTCGTTATACAGTGAAACTTGTCTTATCTGACATGCACTGGGAGATGAATAGTGTGTCGGAATAAACAGGCTGTCGGATCGCACAGTGTTAAGAAACATGGAAAACAGTAAAATGGGAACGAAATTAAATGTTGGAAATTACTGTGTGTCGGTTTACACAGGCGTCGGATTATAAATTTTAAAATCAACAAAACGAGTCCCTGGGTTTGTGTTGAATTTTGGTTTCATTTAGAGATGAATACAGATGAAAAAAAAAACGGAAGCTGTGGCATTACTCTGACAAAAAACACTACGTGTGAGGAACAAATGAAAGAATATATCTGGTGGGGGATTGGGAATTTGGGATAGCGATTTAAACCCCAATTCAAGCTTTATGAATCTTATGTATAACATTTACAAAAAATAAAGATAAATTCATTTTAAAAATTTTTCACATGTTTGCAGTCTACATTTGACAATGAAATCAAAACATGTTTTATGACAACATCAAGTTTTCTTTCTTTTCCCTCTGTGTTAAAAAAATCAAGTCGTGTATAGTTTGCTTTTTGGTCTGATTATTGTTTAACATCGATCCTTCTCGGGAATTTTTCACTCTTCTCTTTTGGAGATGCAACCACTTGCCAGTAAAAAGCTGCGATTTGTTGTTAACCTGTACTCAGCACTCAGGATTGAAGGATCTTTTCATTTTTTAGTGCCAACACCTACTGCGACACGGAACCTCATTTTATACGGTCTTATGAAGGATATGGAGATAACGAACAGTATTCAATATCAAAGTCCACAGAAGAACACAAAATAGGAGAAGAGCAAACGCGGACGTCCGAAATATCAGAAGTGGGATCATATGGCATGGAGGAGTAAGCATCCCCTGCTGATCGGTCACATCAGCCATGTCCTCCTGATTGGGGAACAGCGGAAAAATCCGATGTCAATTCAATATTAAAATAATGGACTAGCAAAAGGTTTGAAAAACGTCAGTCAACATTGATCAATTGTATTTATTTGCTGACAAGGTCATTGCATCGAACATCCAACTAACGAAATGATGACTTTAAACGGGTGCTGATATTCTTGTTTCATCATTTAAAGTACATTCCCTAAAACATTCTTCTTTCCCATTTTTTTTCCATTTGTTCAATGTTCGTTCAGCGTACGTTCAGTATTCGTTTAGCGTGCGTTCACTGTTCGTTCAGCGTGCGTTTACGTTCGCTCTCCGTTCGCAGTTTTGCGTTCACTGTTTACCGTGCACTCGCGTTCACCGTTCACAAAACGTTCAATTTTCGTTTCTTCGCCCCGTTCACTTTGCGTTCACCTTGCGTTCAACTCATCGTTCAGTTTTCATTGCCATTCGGAACTCCGAAGTGAAAGGACACATCTTTTTGAAGTTAAAAGTTTACACGATTTTTTTTATTAAATTATTGATATATCGTGATTGAAGAATAATTATTTCATTGCAAAATGTATCTACTATATTTATAGTTCTATTATTATAACTTAGTTCGTGGACTGAGCTATAAAATTAGCAATATGTAGTGTGTGCTTTCAAAATTTATATGAAACATAAAACAACAAAAAGTAAAGAAATGTTGAAAAATTTAGCTCGATACATTCATCATTTGCCATTTTTTTTTTAAATAAAAACGACATTATATGATCAACCGGTACTGTCGTCGTTTATTTTCATGACGTCCAACAACATCATTGTTTTTTCAATGTCTGCGTCTTCTACCTCATACACATTTTTAATGAGATTCTCTGCAGCTTAGTAAGGACTTAAGCCCGCCTTGTTTATATGTCTTTACAATGTCATTACACTACTGGCTTTTAAAACCCCTGTCCGTATGAAATCCACTGTATTTCTCTGTATCCTACAGCATTTTCACAGTAATCTACGGTATATCTACAGTATCCTACGGTATGCTAGCTCTGTATATACAGTAAATCTCTGTATGCCACTGTATGTATCCCCAGCATGCCACAGTTACATACAGTAGGCCCCGATACGCCTACAGTATGCCACTGTATGGCTACTGTTTCCTACAGTCAACGACGGTAAACCACAGTATATGTCCCAGTACGCCCCTGTATATGTTCATTGAAGCAAAAAAGAAGTTTACACACTCCCAGAGCACTGTACCGTTGCCTAAGATGTTGGATTATTAACTAAGTACACAGAGTTACTTACCTTAGAAATTTTGAACATTATTTTAAACACATAGTAGTATTTTTGAAACTTTGTTAGGAAACTTATTGTATTCTTTTGTAACTCTGAAATGACTATGAAAAAAAAATAAATCATTGCTTCAAAGAATATTTATCTATCAATTTTTAAAATTATTTTTTTAATCATTATTTTGTTTGATTTATTAGTTAATTAATTAATTTAATTATTTTGTGAACACTTATTCAATTCATAAAATACTTTACTTGGAGTGACTTTAATTTGTAACTTGAAAAAAAAACCAAGCAAAATATAGCCTGAGTAATTCTTGTTTGTTTTTTTTAACTTATTGAAAAAAAATCAATCTAATTAATTGCATGTAATCAATCATTGCATAAAAAACTTTTTTATTATTTCTAAATTGAATATACAAACAAAATCAATAATTGTATTCCCGAAATTTGGATTTATTTGGCTAATTTTATGTAAAAAAAATTACGCTAAAATGTGTTTCAAAGTCTTTTTGAAGCATATTTAAACTAATTTTAATTATTTTACTTTCGTGTGGTTTAACCCGCCAATAGCTTTTTGAAAATTTTATTTTATTTTGTTTGACAAAAATCGGTTCTAAGACAAAGAGAAAATTTTATTTCAAGCAGCTGCAGAGTGGACACGGTCGCTCTCTGACACAAAATAAACAAGGTATAGTGATCAGTGAGAAAAACAAGAGGTGTCATTACTGTGTACCTCGTGACACTTGTAAACAATCAATGGCTTTGAAGTTCCTTCATAATCGTGTAAGGGTTTTGAAAACCGATTTTTTTTTTCACTCAAATCAAAGTAAAAATACGAAATCACAATTGACAAATTAAAATTGTGCATATTCTAACGATTATTTTGATATCCATCATAGACGTAAAATAATTGATATTCGCTTTAATATGCTAAAAAATACTTAATTTGTAACATACATGTAGTTTAGGATAAAAATAGTAATACAAAAAACCCTTTAAAAATCTAACTTTGGGGGATATAAAATTAATACGTCATTGATTATTTTGTTGTATTGTCAATTTAATAAATATAATAAAAGAGTTTGACATTTTTATGGTGATAAATTATTTATTTTATTTTTTTACTATTTATTTATTTCTCTAACACCTATTTAATCCATAAAATACTTTGAATGGCTTTATTTGTACCAGTCCTGCTGAAAAAAAAATTTCACACATACACCTACACAACAAAAATAATGATGCATTTTTTTTTTAAAAAGTTTTTAAATCAATTCAATAATTGATTTTATATGGTTAGTGAATAAATAAATAAAACTGATTTAAATCACATATTTAATCATTGTGAAAGGAACAACATATTTTTGTATTTAATTTTAAAATTGACGATACAAACAAATTAATTAATTATAATCCCGAAAGTTGGATTTATCTGGCTTATTTAACGTAAATAAGTTTCCGCTAAAATGTCTCTCATAGTCTTCTTGAGCATATTTATACTACTTTTAATTACTTTACTTCCGTATTGGATATCAAAATAATCGTCTCATTATGCACAATCTTTACCCGTCAATAACTTTTTTGATACTTTTATTCGTTTTGATTGAAGAAAATCGGTTCTCATACAAAGAGACAATGTTATTTCAAACAGCCGCAGAGTGGGCACGGTCGCTCTCTGTCACAAAATAAACAAGGTATAGTGTCAGTGAAAAAGACAATAGGTGTCATTACTGTGTACCCCATGTCACTTGTAAACAATCAATGGCTTTGAAGTTCTTTCATAATCGTGTAAGGGATTTGAAAACCGACTTTTTTTTTCAATCAAAACAAAGTAAAAATATAAAATTGCAATTGACAAATAGAAATTGTGCATAATCTGACGATTATTATGATATCCATCATGGACATAAAATAACTGAAATTTGTTTTAATATGCTTAAAAAATACTTTGTAACATAGTTAAGGAAAAAATATTTATACAAAAAAGCCTTTAAAAATCTCTTTTTAGGGATATAAATAATTGATTAATTTGTTGCATTGTCAATTTAATAAAATAAAATTTAAAAGTTTGACATTTTTATGGTGATAAATTAATTATTTATTTACCATTTATTTATTTCTCTAGCACCTTTTTAATCCATAAAATACTTGGAATGGCTTTTTTTGTATCTTTTAGAGAACAAAAATACACAAACACACACCTACACAACAAAAGTAATGATGCATTTTAGAAAATTTTAGTTTTAAAAATCAATTCAATAAATGATTGTTAAATGGTTAGTGAATAAATAAATAATACTGATTTAAATCACGTATTTTATCATTGTAAAAAGAATAATATATTTATCAATTTATTTTTAAAATTGACTATACAAATAAATTAAATAAATGTTATCCCGAAAGTTGGATTTATTTGGCTTATTTAATGTTAACAAGTTTCCGCTAAAATGTCTCTTAAAGTCTTTTTGAAGAATATTTATACTACTTTAAATTATTTTGCTTCCATGTTGGATATCACAATAATCGTCTAATTATGCACAATCTTAACCCGTCAATAGCTTTTTTGATACTTTAATTTTGCTTTGTTGGACAAAACGGTTTTCTCACAAAGAGAAAATGTTATTTCAAACAGCTGCAGAGTGATACTGTCACCTGTAAATAATCAATGGCTTTGAAGTTCTTTCATATGTTACGGTTTTAAAATCCTTTTTTTTCAATCAAAAGAAAGTAAAAATATGAAATTGCAATTGACAAATTAAAATTGTGCATAATCTAACGATTATTTTGATATCCATCATGAACGTAAAATAATTGAAATTTGTTTTAATATGCTTAAAAAATACTTTGTAGTATATTTTAGGTAAAATAATTTTCATATATACATAAAACTAAAAAAAAATCAATTCGGGTGTATATTCAATTACTTTGTTGTCTTGTCAATTACAGAAATAAATAAATTATTTTTTTCTTTATTTTTTTATTCATGTTTTTTTTTAGATAAATTGATAAACAAATAAATAAAAAGTATAGATAATTAGTTCATTTATTTGTAGATTTGAAGTCATTCATTGAATTCAAATGATTAATTTCACCCGTTAATTAAATAGTAATTATTGCAAATAATTTCATTTATGTGATATGTTCTTGTTGTATTATGTTATCATAAAACAGTGTCTGTATTGGACTTAGTTATATACTAAGTAGCTATTCGGTTCCTTTTTTGAACTAATTATTTTACCCTTTTCCACGTGATCATTATTGATCCGTTTACCAAACGAGAAAGCATGGTTTATTGAACTGCTGAATTTTTTGAATTTATACCATATTTCCCAAAGAAAATCCTACAACTTTTGTTGTGATGCCATTTTGAAGATGTCGGACGATGTGATCTGCTTGTTATTTGCAGAAAAAACGTCTGTAAAGTGAGTTTTTGTTGCGAAATCGGCCTTGTAAATTTACATGCGGGCATAAAACATGCTGAGGAAGTCGCAATTCAGGACGACCAAAATACTTTACATGCGATTCTTACATGGTTATTCTATTACTACGAGTCGTCTGGGGAATAATATGGTCAACTGACGTAAATTTGGTAAACGATCGATAAACGGTGTCAGTGTATCTACAGTGGTGTAAAATATGTAGAAAATAATGTCGGGCTCGAGATCCCGAAAACTCTTACATGAACTATGTCAGGTGTAAACATAGACCCTTCGCTGAAGGTCTTTGCTGTAAACAATAATATACAATTACATTATAGACCTGACAGTGTATAGACTCTTTCCCGGGACGTTTTTGAAACTGGCCGTCAGTGATTCACCTACATCGTTAATCCTAACACCGTGAACAGGCCTGGAGATTTTATTAATCACACCAGTAACTTCATTCCTTTAGGGACTTTTGCCTATTTACGGTGATTTGCAATTTGCTGAGCTTAGAAAATGTGCATCTATGTAATAACATCATTTTTATTAACTGTCCATCCAAAATATCACAAGACAGTTTGCTTCTTACATTCACCTTGGCCGGGGAATAAGAACCTGTTTGTTACAGTGGAAACCTTTCACTTCTTCAAGGACTTGAATGTCAGAATCATCTACACAAACCAGATATTGATGAGTGAATATAAACAGCTCAGCAGTGACGAGTGTTACCTTTTTACAAGTTATGAGATCTCCATTGATGCTGATGTAGTATTCACTTTACACTCCTGCATTCCCAGTATAAAACAGGCCAGTATAGTATAGTACTTCTGATGAAGTCATGTGTTATCCATTAAAATTAAGTTAATTAGCTCATAATTAAAGGCTAAAGTTTTTTGGTTCCTTATATAATTTTGCAATATTTTTACCAATACAGGTATTATACTTGGTAACAAATTCTGCTTTTCCTTTTAAGAGTTTGAACAATGAATGATCTTACTCAAGTTTACTCAAGTTGTTCATGGAGCCAAAAAAATTGTTTGGAGTTAGTTGCCTATATGATGTTGGTAAAATATTGTCATTATATGGGTACACAAATCGTGTATGAATCAAATTTTCATGATCAATTGTTGAATCAAGATATAGTGTACGTGGGACCAGATACACATTTATCACATAAACTGTGCAGGTCATAGGCACAGCTTGTATATAGGTAGAATGATTTACATGATTTAATGGTGATATAATATTGTTGCTAAGGGTGCACACCACAGTTTCAGGTGACCTTTTACTGAGAATTAGTGTAGAGTGATCCACATACACTACTTATGTTTACCATGCAAACCCACCACTGATTTACAAGTTATGTTGTATTTTATGATTGTGAAGGACCATATTCACATTCATTTCACTGACACATTTGGTTGACTCTTGTAGGAACATGTACGCATATTTTGTGGACATGTGCAGAACAATATGCATATGTATTTTGTTGACATGGACAAGACCATGTGCACATGTATTACCTTTTGACTCATGAAAGATTATATGCACATGCATTTTGTTGATCTGGGCAGAATTATATTCACATGTATTTTGTCGACTCATGCAGAACCATACATAATTATGCCAAATTGACATACATTTTGTTTTGTTGACTTGTACGCAACCATATGCACATGTATTTTGTTGACTTAGTCACTTGTGCTGGACCATATGCATATGTATTTTGTTGACTTAGTCACTTGTGCAGGACAATATATGCACATGCAAGTTGTTGATTCATGCCGGTCCCTATGCACACATTTTTGATGACTTGTGTAGGACCATATACACATGAATTTTGTTGAACTTTCCCTAACAAAAATCCACTATAGTTAACTATAGTTTACTATAGTTAACTATAGTGAAAACTTTGACACTTTGATTTACTATTGAACTTTACTCTAGAACTTTTTAGAAGATTTAAAGCCCTAATATATTTTAAATTACATACTGATGATATACTTTTTGGATAAAATATGTAAATATACAAGGAATACTTCATTTTAATTCAAGAAAAGTATTTGTAGGAAGTTTAAAAAATAAAATATATCTATCTGAGATTCATAGTAAAAATACTTTGATTTACTATAGTGAAAACTTTGATTTACTATAGTTAACTATAGTAAACTATAGTAAACTATAGTAAACTATAGTTAACTATAGTACTTTGTTGTTAGGGTTGCAGGGAAAAATGTGCAGGATCAGATGCACTTGTGTTTGTTGACTTGTGTAGGACCATATACACATGTATTTTATTGGATTGTGCAGGACCATATGCACAATAATGCACTTGTGTTTGTTGATTTGTGCAAGACCTGCATGGTAGTATATTATGACATGCAAATTTTGAAGTGTTTTTTTGGTAATATAATGTTATAATGAGAATAATTTATGCTGCATATATGTAGACATATTCTCATGTTGGGATTTACATAACCTGTTATTCCCTGTTGATTTATTGCAGCTGTGCAATACCCAAAGTAAAATAATTATATCATTCTCTAAGAATTTATCTTGCATGTTCTGATTGTACAGTTGTATAGGACATGGCTTAAAATGTTGATTTAGATCAAGAGCACTTGATTAAAAAAAATGAATATCATATACTGGATAGAAGTTTACACTTTTATTTTTCCAGAGTTACCTATCCCACCAAATTAGAAACAGACACTATCCACACTGGGTAACACTTGCAGAAACTATATGGGCCATGTGGAAACAACAGTCAGAAATCAGATATGCATGCACAGACAACACAACAGTGGACAAACAAGTGCCCATTACCAAGGACATTGCCTCAACATAGCAAAGTATTGTGGCAACAGCCACTTTTAGTTTGGGTGATGTATTGGTTCATGTTTCTGGGGAATGCTCTGTCAACAAGTCCATTGAGTAAGATAATATCAGGATAAAATGATTTTTCACTGAATTCAATAGTTTCTGTAAAAAAAAAATATATATATATATATATCCTAATTTTGAAATAAAGATTTTTATACACTTTATGTCTTTTATCAGTACATGAAGCAAACTTTAGTCAATTCTTCTGAAACAGGGGTTAGAGATATGCAGTAGGGCCCAAAATTTTAAATTCCAATCACTTTAACTCAATTGACCGATGCAAAAAAAAAATTAATCTATAAACTAACCTCATTCAGGATAAAGAGATTCATTTGAATATTTCAAAGCTTTGATCAAGATCTGGTAAACTGAAAGTCATATCAGAGGGATATTTACAAGTTTTATGTCAGATTGTACTAAACTACCTAAAATAAAACTTTCTAGAAATCAAAGAAGACTTAGGGTGATCATAAGATCATTAATATGAATATTTTTAGATCGAAAAAGAAAGAAAATGCAAAAATCACAGGTCCTTTAAAAGAAACACATTTTGTGAAATCATATCTTCTATAATAGTTGTTCTACAAAATATGAAACAAAGGGTGAATACAGTTCATGGATCATCTCTATAATCAATCTCTGCAGAGCTCAGTAGCCGTCGAGCGGGACCATACGTTTGACAAATGCAAATTACTGTAGCATAAAGGTATCCTAATGAGGATTTACTGTCATACAGGAAAAAATACATGCTTATTAACCCTGCAATTTCTATTGATGATGCTTTAAAGCTTATGCATTCGATTGTTGTATGCAATGTTGTTTCACTATACATGGGGCCATACATGTTAAGAAAGTTGCATCACTTGGTATATGGAATATCTCAGTTAACACAGGACCATATGTGTTAAGTTGTTGCATCATGTTGTATATAAAAATATTTCTCTAAACACGGGACCATACGTGTTTAGAAAGTAGATGTTTTGTACATGAAATGTTTGACTAAACACAGGACCATATACATGTTTAGTATGTTACATCATGTAATAGATATTGGCTAAACACAGGACCATATGTATTTGAATAGTTAGATCATCTTATACATGGAATGTTTCACTAAACACGGGACCATACGTGTTTAGTGGGTCACATGTTGTAAATGGAAGACTGACTTTCTAAACACGGGACCATATGTGTTTAATGGGCCACATGTTGTAAATGGAAGATTTTCTAAACACGGGACCATACGTGTTTAGTGATTCACATGTTGTAAATGGGAGACTTTCTAAACACGGGACCATACGTGTTTAATGGGTCACATGTTGTAAATGGAAGATTTTCTAAACACGGGACCATACGTGTTTAATGGGTCACATGTTGTAAATGGGAGACTTTCTAAACATGGGACCATACGTGTTTAATGGGTCACATGTTGTAAATGGAAGATTTTCTAAACACGGGACCATACGTGTTTAGTGATTCACATGTTGTAAATGGAAGATTTTCTAAACACGGGACCATACGTGTTTAGTGATTCACATGTTGTAAATGGAAGATTTTCTAAATACGAGACCATACGTGTTTAGTGGGTCACATGTTGTAAATGGAAGACTTTCTAAACACGGGACCATACGTGTTTAATGGGTCACATGTTGTAAATGGGAGACTTTCTAAACATGGGACCATACGTGTTTAATGGGTCACATGTTGTAAATGGAAGATTTTCTAAACACGGGACCATACGTGTTTAGTGATTCACATGTTGTAAATGGAAGATTTTCTAAACACGGGACCATACGTGTTTAATGGGTCACATGTTGAAAATGGAAGACTTTCTAAACACGGGACCAGACGTGTTAAGGAATTTATACCACTTTGTTTATGCTATATGTCACTGAGCACGGGGCCATACGTGTTGAGGCAGTTTCATTACTTTAAATGTACACAGTATTTATTAATTTATTTGAAATGTCTCTTGTTGACATCAGTTACCAATAGTATATCAGAGCGTTATACCATATGTATGACATTATCTGTATTGTTTGATTCCGCCAAGCCAAGCCAGAAGTTGTCTGTTGGTTCCTTATACCTATCCTCACAAATTTAAACCCTCAGTTTGGTAATCTGTTTTTCCTCTCGAGTGGTCAGAAGTTGTCTGCAGTTAAGAGGAACATTTTTATAAGTTTGACATCTCGGTTGACTGGTCAGAAGTTGTCTGCAGTCATGTGACACATTTTATGCAGCAGGGTGTATGTTTGACACCTTTGGTGACTGCTTCGGAAGTTAACTGTCTGCAGTCACGAGGCATATTTTTATGTCTATGCAGCATGGTGTATGTTTAGCAACTTTGTTGACTGAACAAAAGAAGCCTGCAGTTAAGAGGCACTTTAAGGCTGCATGGTGTTTGTTTGATACCTTTGTTGACTGGTTAGAAGTTATCTATAGTAAAGAGGCACATTTTGATGCAGAATGGTCTAAGTTTAACAACTTTGTTGACTGCAGCATGGTGTATGTTTGATACGTTTGTTGACTGGTCAGAAGTTGTCTGCAGTCAAGAGGCATATTGGATGCAGAATGGTGTAAGTTTAACAACTTTGTTGACTGCAGCATGGTGTATGTTTGATACCTTTGTTGACTGTTCAGAAGTTGTCTGCAGTCAAGAGGCACATTTTGATGCAGAATGATGTAAGTTTAACAACTTTGTTGACTGGTTAGAAGTTGTCTGCAGTTGACAAGGTCATTGTCCATGATTTTAAATTCCCATTTTGCTGTCTGGTTAATATTCACTACAGACAGGTATTTTGTACACTTTTTAAAATTATTTGATGTTTTGCCCTTTGTAATGTTTTCACTCAGTCTTATTAGATGTTTCTTTTTCTTGTTCACAATAACTATTGTATTGTCTTCTGAACTGAGTATATGTCAACTTAAAAAAAAATTTAAAAAAAAGATGTTTAAATGCTTTTATATTAATCATCCTGTTGAGGAATTTTGCGTCTCCTGCCAAGACGCCTTTGGGTGGGCGGATCCAATCTCTGATTGGATTGTGGCTGTTTGTTATTTTGTTTTCCCACCTTTTTTGATGACAGGCAGCAGTTTAGAGCATTTGTATATGTCTTCCAAACTTATGATGTTTATAAGGGGGTCAACTTAAAATGCATGTATATTGTACCTTGTGAAAGATTACAGGGTTGGAATTATTATTATAGTCTGGTTGACCCCCCTTTTGCCTATGTACATCATGTTACAATGTCATTATGGTGCTGGGGGTCAGATTGTGTAATATTTTGACTAAGATGTGTAATACTCTATATTTGAGTCCTCCTTTTTCTGACCCCCAATTTGTTAAATGTGTACTTTTCCGTCATTTACTTTCATAAATGACATATTTCACTTCAGCATGATGTTATTTCTTTTTGCCTGTTTATCAAAAAACAAGCTCAGTCATTTGGCAGGAGAACTAAGGAGCATAAAATAGTAATTATTGCAAATAATTTCATTTATGTGACATGTTCTTGTTGTATTATGTTATCATAAAACAGTGTCTGTATTGGACTTAGTTTTATACTAAGTAGCTATTCGGTTCCTTTTTTGAACTAATTTTACCCTTTTCCACGTGATCATTATTGATCCGTTTACCAAACGAGAAAGCATGGTTTATTCAACTGTTGAATTTTTCGAACCCACCATCCACCTCTTCTGCCACCAATGCTTGTAATTTCTTTCAGGTTGATATTTTTGTTGTTATATATGTTTTACCAATCCTTTTTGATAGTGTTTGAATGGGTTTAAAAGAGATTTATAGTACTTATTTCTACCGCAGGTTCTTACTGAACAAGTAAACTTTTTGTACATTGGAATAAATGGCAAATCCATGTATTAGGTTACTGAGAATGAGTCCGACATTTATTTTGTGTACCTCGGAATTTTGCTTATGTCTGCAAGTTTCCATATGATTTTTCAGCATAAAGCAGTGTGGCTTTTTATATATGGTTTTTCCTCGGCGGTGAGAGAAACATAGTTGTGTTCAATTTAATGCCTGTGCGATTATATTGTTATTGGCTGTTTGTTATTTTTTTTTCCCACCTTTGTTGATGACAGGCAAGGCAGCAGTTTAGAGCATTTTGTATATGTCTTCCAAACTTATGATGTTTATAAGGGGGTCAACTTAAAATGCATGTATATTGTACCTTGTGAAAGATTACAGGGTTGGAATTATTATTATAGTCTGGTTGACCCCCCTTTTGCCTATGTACATCATGTTACAATGTCATTATGGTGCTGGGGGTCAGATTGTGTAATATTTTGACTAAGATGTGTAATACTCTATATTTGAGTCCTCCTTTTTCTGACCCCCAATTTGTTAAATGTGTTTTACTTTTCCGTCATTTACTTTAATAAATGACATATTTCACTTCAGCATGATGTTATTTCTTTTTGCCTGTTTATCAAAAAACAAGCTCAGTCGTTTGGCAGGAGAACCAAGGAACATAAATTATATTTATTTTTTCAAAGAAACTATATCAATTTTAAAATTTACAATTTTCCAAAATGCATCATTACCCCGGTCGTGTTTTTTTTTTCAAAGTTACAAAATCACTCCAAGTATTTTATGGATTAAATAGGTGTTTGCAAAATAAATAAATTAATCAATTAACTAATAAATCAAACCAAAGAATAATTAAATAATTAATTTTTAAAATTGATAGATAAATATTTCTTGAAGCAACAATTTATTAATTTTTCATAGTTATTTCAGAGTTATAAAAGATCATTAACCTCTTAACACATTAAAAAAATACTACTATGTGTTTAAAATAATGTTCAAAAATTTCCTAGGTAAGTAACTCTGTGATAATCCCACATCTTCGGTAACTGTACATTGCTCTGGGAGTGTGTAAATTTCATTTTTGCTTCAATGAACATATACAGGGGCGTACTGGGGCATGTACTGTGGTGTACCGTAGTTGTCTGTAGGAAACAGTAGCCATACAGTGGCATACTGTAGGCGTATCGGGGCCTACTGTATGTAACTGTGGCATGCTTGGGATACATACAGTGGCATACAGAGATAAACTGTATATACAGAGCTAGCATACCGTAGCATACTGTAGATATACCGTATAGTACTGTGAAAATGCTGTAGGTTACAGAGAAAGACAGTGGATTTTCATATGGTCACTGGTTTTAAAAGCCAGTAGTAGAGATGTTTCTGAAAATGAATCGAATCCGAATCTGAAAATGAATCTGAATCGGTGAGATCCCGATCCCGATTTGAAAACTTGATAAAACTTTAGAAAGAGAATATTTCCTAAATCCGCTTTTTAAATCGTCACTGTACATGTAACAATAAGCTTAAAGGGAAATAAATAGTGTACGGTGTTCATACTTTTGTTACTGGGATTGTTATTGTTTTAAATTGGATAAGTCAAATTCTATAGACTGAATAACAGAATAAATACCCTTTCAATTTATGGAAAACCTGTACGAAAATGTCATTGTTGCAAAATCCCTGGTTCGCCGATGACATTTCAAACACACTCCTTAGGCCACGAGAAAAAAAAAATAAAATTAATCTAGCAAACTTGACTGACCCTTTTTTCACTTAATTTGTAACAACCATATTATAGTAAAACAAATAAAATAAGACTTATTTCATACAAGATTGTTGTCATTTGTTGCAGGGGGGGGGGGGCTACACATTCATTAACGTTTCATACAGGTTACAAGTATTCATTGATATATTAATGACAAAACATCAGTAATCATACTCTCAGTGTATAAATTAGAGTTGTATCTCTTTTCAAATCGGGATCGGAATCCCTCCGATTCAGATTCGTTTTTATATTCATTTTCAGATTCGGATTCGATTCATATTCAGAAACATCTCTAGTGTTAACAACGGCTTTTAATGAAAATGATATTCCAAATGGATTCATACATTGAGAGAGATTCAGGCTTGATAGTACCAGTATATTTTGCTTTTGGGAGCTCAATATCTATTACACACTATCAACGTCATTTCTTAACGTGATTGATTTTTCACACATTGATCACCAATCGACGTTAACTTTGTATCCCTGTTCTCTCTGAATTTTTTTTGACATCAAAAGACAAGTACTCTGGATGCATATTATTTCTCTGTTTCCAATTTAAACATTTCTGAGGCCTATACCAGTTTTTTTCAGAATGTTGGAAAAGGACCCCCCCTTTTGATGTCATTATCAAGGCCTCATTTATTTGGACATTCCATGTAACATTACGATAAAATTTCATAGAACTTCCAGAATGAAGTGAAAATTTCATATTTTATGGGACAATTGTGTTCACATACCTGAACAAACAGGATTTTTGGATGTCAAATGTTCATATCAAAAGAGTTTTTCTTAGTTACACATAGGTCACAAAACCGTTAATCGTACGTCATCTTCGAGGTTGCACCGCCTGGACATTCCATTGCTTACAAAAACATTACTAATTTATTAAAAAAATAAAATTTATGATTTATAGTTTAATCCTTAGATAGAAAAAATAATGCCAAGTAGAATTTTTAAAATTCATTGATGTGCCTAAAGTGGTTTTAATTTTATGGCGCTTTTTGATAACCCCTCGTACATGTCTGTAGAACGATGCTAAAATACTAAATTTAAATAAGGAAAATGTACAAATGCTTCAAGCACGGCAACATTTTGTTGTGATGTAAAAGACAACAAATTGTTAATGGATGTATAATAATCCAAGACTTTTACAATACAAGAATACACACAAAAAATATTTCTAACAGGTATTTAAAAAATGCACGAAATCCTATATTAGAACTACATTGAGGTCTGACTATTATCAACAGTACTGCAGATATTCAGTTAATTAGATATCTTAAGAGCTAATTAATTTTATAGTGTGATTTTAAATATAAGAAAAGACTACCTGTTTGAAATATACTACATTAATTTTTTTTTCTACTTTACGTTAAGTTAGAGTTAAATTTTTAGAGAGGGAAAATTCCTTCCTTCACCATACCAAAATATACCCAGCAGGCATTTCAACGTTGATTCAACGTTGAATCAACATTGAACTTTGGTTGCATATGAAAGTTGAGTCAACGTTGAGACATAACGTTGTTTCAACGTCAATTTTCAACGTTGAATAAACGTTGAAAATGGGTTGAATTTTTGGTTTTTTGGTTGATTTTTGGTTGCAAACGAAAGTTGAGGCAACGTTGAAGCTTCAACGTTGTTTCAACGTCAAATATCAACATTGAACAAAAGTGAACATTGGTTGAAATTAGGTTGGGATTTGGTCGAACATTTTCGGTTGTACAATGTACAAATGTTGATATTTGGTTTAAAACACGTTGAATTCATTTTACATTTTGCTTCATAAACAAATACATTTCAAATTCTAATAAAAAATTTTATCACATGGGATAGAAAATAAAGATTCCTTTATATTTTGAACTTAAAAACTAAAATGCTCAATACTCGTTACCCGTTGTTACAACGTTAAATTTTCCTAACTTTCCTAAAGTTGAAAATATGTTGCATCTTCCACGTTGTTTCAACTTTGAAATCGAGAGACTTTGAATTTTTAAACCTTGTTTTAACTCTACATAATCAGAAAATACTCAACGTTGAAAACATGTTGAAACTTCAAAGATGTTTCAACGTTGAATATTGACGAGCATTCAACGTTGAAAATTTGTTGCAGCTTCAACGTTGTTTCTATGTTGAAATATCGACGAACATTCAACGTTGAAAATACGTTGCAGCCTCAACCTTTTTTCAACGTTGAAATATCAACGAACATTCAACGTTGAAAATATGTTGCAGCTTCAACGTTGTTTCAACGTTGAAAAAAGGTTGAGGATTCAACGTTGAAACAACGTTGAAATATAATTGATCACTGTTGCAACCTATATTCCACCTCCTTTCAACGTTGAAACAACGTTGCGTGCCTGCTGGGTATGTTTGCCTACCCGGCGCCTTTTCTTCCGAAATCAAATTCTTAGTAAGTATTTTCAGTAAAATTTAGTATTTTTTTAATGTGTATTGTAACACAAGAAAATAAATCTTAAAACTAATATCGATATCAAAACAGTCATTGAAAAATAGTAGTATTTCAAAATATACATGTGCCCACATTAGTATTTTTAATTGGCAGATAATATGTTCAAATTCAATTTCAAATTTGATCCCTCCAAGTATATATTCCTATTATATATTTTTTTTCTGCGGAAATGCGAAAATCAGATCTAGAAAGGATAGGAAAAATGTAAAATCTTCTTGGAAAAAGTAATTGACACTTTGCCTTCGGCATGTTCCATGAAACGAGATTTCCACACTTGTACTACTGTGTCGAATGATTTTGATTGACAGGAGAAGCACGAGAATTTCGTGTGAAACGTGTAAACTCTCTCTCTCTCTCGTAAATTTCTCTGTTCAATAAAAACTATGATAACACATTACTTTTTTAGTTTTGAAAATTTAATCTTTTACAAATAATTTGATTGCCTCTTTTCATTATCTTGTCCGAGTAAAACCACAACCGGGAAATATCTACAGATACATGTAGAAGTTAGCTAAAATAATCACCATCTTAGAATTTTGAAATATGAGTAAATACGTCAACAGACATTTGTAAATGAATACAGAATCGCCTTGGCACGGAAATACATGTATTATTGTTTCAACCGGGTAGAATGTAATTAATTCATTCTACAAATAGTATTTTTTACTTCCTAAGTCCACGCATTAATTTATTAGATGAAATAATAAGCATATTTACTATAGGTAAATTAATTTTATATTTATACTACACGCGTTCGGCAAGATATACACGTTATACGGCAATTAAAATAGCGTCATTAAAATATCGATAAAACACGTAGATGCATTAAATTATTATTGATTTATTTACCTACTGTTTACTTATATTTTAGCACGTGAAATTAAAATCAAAGAATAATTTAATAACTTCAATGCAAGAAAAAGATCGAAGGCATTCCAAATAAATTGTTCATTTTGCTTTTACCGTTCGTTTACTGTTCACTTTGCGCTCGAGTTCGCGTTCCGTTCGCTCTGCGTACGTTCACCGTTCGTATACCATTCGTTTACCTTCGTTTACCGTTCGTTCGCCGTTTAGATGGGAAAGTAGAACTTTTCAGAGAATGTACCTGATTCTACGCTCAACAATGCGATTCGAACCCACGACCTAATGATCAACTGTTTTCTTTGCGACTCTAGTGCAGATACTTTAATCACTGCGCCACGCAGGCGACAGTCGTATATAACAAGGCAATAAGTTTAGATCGTGCCTTCTACTTCGAGAAGCATCACTGTTACGTTACATTAAAGATATTGAATTGTGGGGAAAAAAATGAATAAAGCCAAAATTTTATTCTTCTAGACAGATGTGTGATTACTGATTAATATGCAGCGAACACGCCAATTTAAAGCTGCACGACAAAATTATGTAAAACAAATATTATTCACACAATCTTTCTTTAGCGTTTTAGTCAGTTTAAAATCAAATTTCATGAAAGATAGTACTGATCAAAATCTATCAGACAAGTTGAATCGGCAATAACTCAAACTTCACTTCTGAATATTTGTAATTTCAGATAAGTATCACCAATACAAGCCTGCTGTGAGATGTCTACTGTACTGTGTTCTATTGGTGGATCAGTATACGTTTGATGTCAATCACAAGTCCCACAAAGAAGTGTTAAACAAACTCAGGGAAAGATATTTCACAGACATACCATTATATGATAAAATCAACGTATCAAAGATACCTGACGGAATAATTTATAAGCGGGACGGTGGCGTTACATTTATATCAGAAAACATTCGACATGACGTCATGTACGCCTTTGTTACGGAGTGTCTGGTGGAGGACAGCGATCTGGAGTTTTTCCTGACCACGGCGTCACGTGACGTGGTATCAGAATACTGCAGATCCTGGGGTTATGAGAGTAGTGAGGGAGAGAGGTGTGTGTATGTTCCGGAGGAGCCAGAGAAGATGTACGACCTCTTTATAGACAAACTACAGTTGGACATCATCATCCTCCCTACCATGAATGATAAGAGTATATATCATAAGATAATTTATCGCTGTGAGTATAAATCAAGGTTTTTTTTTATCATTGAGAGATTTTGAAATACAATGGAAAACAGAAAAATAATTGAACTAATTATATAGTTCCATCAATTATTTATAGTAAATTCGTTTTTATATATATGACATAAAAGCAAACTAACAATGGATAGCTTGAGAATGTTCAGATATTACTTAACGACGTTCGATCCTGATATTTAAAGTCTTAAACTTTTTCTGCCAAGTATATTTTAAGTTTATACATACATAGCTTAATTAAAATTCAAATAAAAAAATGGGGGTCAATACGCTTCTTTTGGCGCTACAGTACATTTAATATGACCTTCTTGCACTGACATTTGTGCCTTGATTAAAAATTGAATTTTTATGTTTTACCTCCAATATTTTTATCCAATTAGAGCATGAAACAAAATGAGCTATAAGTTTGTTTAAAAAAAAAAAACATTTAAAAATTGTAACTGAAAAAAAAGTTCAAATTGCTTCGCGTAATCAACTATTTGACCTTTCTGCACAAATGAAAAGTGATTTTTCTGGCATTGAAAATGTAATAAGCAAGAAAATTATTTTAAAGTCTTAAACTTTTCCTGATTTTAAGCAAATAGGTCAAATTAATCTAGAATATTTAGAAAATAATAACCAAAGTGGGGGTATATGATGTGAATATTCAGATATTACTAAAAAAAGTGTAAATTTTACGTTAAAATTGGCTCAATTTTTTTCCAGGATTTTCAGAATTTGTCACACTTTGTTGATAGAATTCATAAGAAATAATTTAATAGATATTTCATAACCAGCATAACACATTCCACTGCAAAAAACAGCTTTGTGTGCAACCAGGATGGAAAATAGAAATCCAAAATAAAGAGTACTGTTATAGTTCAAAATGAAAAAAAAACCCAGATCATTATCGTCTAAAAAACCTTCCGCCACAAAATATAGTCTCAGCTTATTTCTACTTGAATGGAATTTAATCGCGTTTTTTTTTTCATCGGATATACTTAAATTTGCACTGTAGAATTCAGATTTAATGTTAGAACTAAAAAATGATGCAGATGCAGAATTTTATAAATAAAGAACCTGACCAAAATACGCTCAAACTTTCAGGATCGAACGTCCTTAATACATTTCGTTCTCTTATATTAAAGATTGACAGGTTATAATGGACTTTTTCAATATATGCTCGCGCTCTTGAGAAAAGAGTTTATCCCAATTTTAACATATTATTGAGTTTTTCATTGGTTTCGATAGATAGGATAATAAGATGTCAAATCTGAAATTTTATGGTCCTACTCCAACTCAAAATATGCTTTTCTATATTTATTTCCATACTAGTTCATTAGTGAAATCAAGACGTCCTGTTACTTTATTTTGCACCAATGTCAAAGGTTTTCGGCACCTTTGGTAAACGTGATTATGTTTTGTGTAACGAAAATTTATATATGAGCTGTTCCAAGCAAACATCCCACTTATATCAAAGTTTTTTGAAAATGACATTTTTGTTGCAAAATAATGCAGAACCTTGGGTAATATAACCTGTAGATATAACAGGTGTATCTTCCTCTGTCAGGGATTTACAGGAATTCAGAGTATGCATGATTTATACTGCTGACGTCATATTTTATAAAATTTCAATTGTAGCGACGTCGACATTATATCGACGTAATTAAAACATAAATCACTTATACGCAGTAACTTGGTATTGTATTGACGTTCTGATTTATATGCAATGTACATATGCTTAATTTGTTGTAAACGTTTTTTTCCCTTTTTTATGAAAAAGTTCAACTTATTCTTTTCTGGTATTAGTTCTGAATAGTTTAAGTATACCTTTCAGATTTCAAATTATGAAATAACTAATAAAAACATGACCTGAAAAACTGAGAAAATGGGTAATGCATTTGATTCAGCTTAAAAAAATGTATATTTTATACAGTACAATCACGAAAAAGAAAACCGAAAAGATTTACAGGTATTCAGAGTATGCATGATTTATACGGCTGACGTCATATTTTATAAAATTTCAATTGTAGCGACGTCGACATTATATCGACGTAATTAAAACATGAATCACTTATACGCAGTAACTTGGTATTGTATTGACGTTCTGATTTATATACAATGTACATATGCTTAATTTGTTGTAAACGTTTTTTCCCCTTTTTTGTGAAAAACTCATTCTTTTCTTGTATTAGTTATGAATAGTTTAAGTATACCTTTCAGATTTCAAATTATGAAATAACTAATAAAAACATGACCTGAAAAACTGAGAAAATGGGTAAGGCATTTGATTCAGCTTTAAAAAAATGTATATTTTATACAGTACAATCACGTACATGCAATTAATATAAAGATTGCCAAACATACACCCCATCTATATCCAACAACACAATTTTTAAAGTCGATCAGCTTGTGCTTTAAACATAGATCCATTACAGGTTAAAATTAGACTTAGACTTTCTCAATATTTAAGTCAGTATTCGATTTGATCTAAGTTTAAAAAAAACATACCTGTCATACACCCTCCCCCCACCCCCCCCCCCCCCCCCCCAAAAAAAAAAAAAAAAAACAAAAAACAACAGGTTGTTATGAGGCAAGCTTCACAGGTCAACACTTATAATATATCATGAAGGTCCTCTGAAAATGTATCAGTTAGTCAAAAGAAAAAAAAATATCTTAGAGAAAAAGAAAACCGAAAAGATTTACAGGTATTCAGAGTATGCATGATTTATACGGCTGACGTCATATTTTATTTTTTAATAGTTTATTTTTTAATATACAGCAATATACCTTCATCACCTGCATACGGAGTATTTATATCTCAGTTGATTCGATATGCAAGAGCATGCTCTACGTATGAACAATTTCTTAAACGAGGTAAATTATTGACAAGCAAGTTGATGAAACAAGAATATCAACAGTCTCGTTTAAAGTCATCATTTCGTAAATTCTATGGTCGATACAATGACCTTGTCAGCAAATACAATTTATCATTGAATGAAATGCTGACTGACGTTTTTCATACCAATTGTTAGTCCATTATTTATACACTGAATTGACCACGGATTTTTTCCGTTATTTCCTGATTATGACAACGAGCACACGGCGGGTGGGACCGGTCGGCAGGGGATGCTCACTCCTCCATGGCACCTGATCCCACCTCTGATGTTTCGGAGGTCCGTGTTTGCTCTGCTCTTATTTTGTATATTTGTTTAATGGACGTTGAGATTGAATACTGTTCGTTATTTCCATATCCTTCCATAAATTTTCAATTGTAGCGACGTCGACATTATATCGACGTAATTAAAACATGAATCACTTATACGCAGTAACTTGGTATTGTATTGCTGTTTGATTAATATACAATGTACATATGCTTAATTTGTTGTAAACGTTTTTTCCCCTTTTTTATGAAAACGTTCAACTCATTCTTTTCTGGTATTAGTTCTGAATAGTTTAAGTATACCTTTCAGATTTCAAATTAAGAAATAACTAATAAAAACATGAGCCAAAAAACTGAGAAAATGGGTAAGGCATTTGATTCAGCTTAAAAAAATGTATATTTTATACAGTTCAATCACGTACATGCAATTAATATAAAGATTGCCAAACATACAACCCCATGTATATCCAACAACACAATTATTAGAGTCGATCAGCTTGTGCTTTAAGCATAGATCTATGACAGGTTAAAATTAGACTTAGACTTTCTCAATATTTAAGTCAGTATGCGATCCGATCTAAGTTTAAAAAAACATACCTGTCATACACCCTCCCCCCCCCCCCCCCCAAAAAAAAAAAAACAAAAACAAAAACAACAGGTTGTTATGAGGCAAGTTTCACAGGTCAACACTTATAATATATCATGAAGGTCCTCTGAAAATGTACCAGTTAGTCAAAAGCAAAAACAATATTTTAGAGACAAAGAAAACCGTGTTAGTCAGGGGCCTATTTATAGCAGCTTTTAAAATCCTCTACACAAATGTACAATATCTGATTACCATCTTCATAGAAAAAAAAACAAAGAATATTTTTTAAAAAGAGAACATGTTATACGATATATATGCAAAATCTGGACATTGGACTGTCTTTCGAATAAAATGCTTCTCACATATTAGTGAAATATATTATGTCCCAGTTTACCCAATATTTTACACACATACAAAGAAGTTCCATTGTGTGCAGAAGGGGGAGGAATGCTGGCCATTCTCTGTCACTTCATTAACATCAAATATTGAACATCTGACCACCCTTACCAACTTACAAGGAGTCCACGTGTTCTGAAAGTGGGGGGAGGAGTTGAGTAGGTTACTTTTGTGTTATTCTTCTAGTTTAATTTACATGCAGTCCGGATCTTTGGATGAGTCTGTACAAACCGAGGTCCCTTGTCACAGTAAGTGCTGGCAAAAAAGATCCCTCACTGCTAAAAAGCCCCGAGTGCCGGTTATGGGGCAATATTTGCAGCTCTCTTCTGTCAGTTGGTATCATCTATGAGATAAAAATTCTCGAGATGGACGTTTAACAACTCGCAAACGATAATTCTTTTTAAATTCAAACATTGAGAAAGAACTTTCACAAGTTATCTAGAACCTTTGTTTATACAAAATTTTTCCGAAGTTATCTAGAAACCTTTTTTATACACGATATATCCGACTTTTGTGTTTGACATCTGTAGCAGACAGTATATACATGTAGGGAACTTGTACTGCCTCTCTAGTGTGCTAGCTTTTCTAGTTAAGCAACGGCGAGACTGTTGAACCATTGAATGGGTGACCGCTGAAAAACATGGAAAGCCATGGGAAGTAATGAGATAAACAAAATGTAGGCCTATCTTCATGTTAATGACATGCAAAAATTTAGGAGCTTTTCATACAAACATATAATGATGTATACTTTGTGGTGACAACATCATTCACTTAATGATTTGTTTGTATCTTTCTTTAAACACTTTGAACTGAAATTCTGTATCATTGCAAACATTGTTTAAGGATAATTATTTAA